TGAGCGAAGCTTTGCTGAGGGCTCCAGAAAAAGTATGTGTGTGTGGGGGGGGGGTGTATCACAAAGGCGGCCATCTTAACCTGGAATGGCTGCCGGTGCTGTTGCAATACTGACGCCATTCTGTGTAAATCTGCTTAGGCCCTCATATCTGTTTTTTTAAACTATGGTTCCTTGATTTAAATCAGACAGCAGGAGGTTCTGCAGTCGCCGTACTTTCCGGCACCCTCTCAGGTTTTCGGCTGTGTTAAAAATCAGAAATGCGCCAGCAGCTGGCATCGTACCCCCTTAATGCGTAGTGTGCTTGTGTACATCCCAGGGGGCGCCGTGTTTCTGCTGTGATGGTGCTGAGTCCCCTGGCAGCACCAAACTGCTGCCGCGTGAAGTTTCATGGGTGAAGTCATACTTACCAAAAAGATGTGAAGTGTAATTTCCCTGGATGATGAGCCAGTTTCAGAGTCCTGGGCATAGCTCTCTTTCTCACTCTCTCTCACTCTCTCTAGCTCTATCTCTCACTCTCTTGCTTGCTCGCTCTCTCTCATGCTTTCGTTCTCTCGCCCTCTCTCTCACTCTTACTCACTCTTACTCTCTCTTTCACTTGCTCTCACTCTTACTCTCTCTCACTCTCTCTCTTGCTCTTGCTCTCTCTCACTCTCGCTGTCTCTCTCTCGCGTGCTCTCTCTCTCACTTGCCCTAGCTTGCTCTCTCTCTCTCACCCTCATACACACACAAGGTCTAGATAATGTCAGTGCTCATTTGTAGGTTTAAATATACTCTCCCCCTCCTTGTCAGGTATGCTGTGTTTCACATTTAGTTGCCACCTCTGTTCTGACTTGTCTGAGCAGCTTCCCAGGCAGCCGGCTTGGCAGGACCCTTGGAGTCAAACCCAGATCTGCCGGCCAGCTGTCAGAGAGGCTGAGGTCACCTAAACACGGGCATTAGTGTCAGCCCAGTCCTCATCATGCGCCCAGCACTCGTCGGCTTTGGGGAGTTGGGTGGGGGAACAAACCAGGAGTGAGATATTGCACATTTCAGCAAGGCTTTCTGTGGGCCTGGGACACTCGCTTACGTCACGTGACCGGCAAGGCCACGCCCCCTTCAAACCGTACATGGGAGGCTGTGAGCCTGCAGTTTCCTGCTTCCACCTTGGAAAGACAGCAGCATGGCAGCCGTGTGCTTTGTTTCATCTCCTCTGTTTGCGTTTCACCTTCTGGAAGCTAACAGTTCCCAAGCAGGTCATTTCAGCCAGTGCAGACCTGGAGCTGTTTGTTCTCAAGGTTGAGCGAATTTTTGCTTCCACTTGTGGGCCAGACTCAGTCTAACAGCTTAACAGATGCTCCCGGTGGGTAAATGAACACGTAAACCCATACAGACATGCTCTAACCAACAGCGTCCATGGACTCGTCCCTTGCTGACGAGCAGTGGCAGAAAGCTGAATGATCAGGTTCAGTAAGGCGGTGGCAGGATGTAATCGAGGAATGGAAGCAAAGTTGGTGAGAGACAAAGAAGAGGATGGGAAGGAGAGAGCGTGTTTGTGGAGCCTGGGCTGAGATAAGCCAAACTGCAGAGGGCTTGAGTGATCTGAGACTGTCCATATTCATGAGCAGCCATGACAGGACGCACAGGTGTGACATGCACTATATCTGTAACAGGCTAATTACCTGTCTGCAAAATAAAAATGATCTTTTAGGCTTATACAGTGCTCCCTTATTTTTTTCCAGAGCTGTAGAATGTCTTCCCCTTTCACAAAATGAGTCACGCGGCACGTCTCTCATAGGAAACAAAGGGTAACGCTTCAGTCTCAGCCTCGCATTCGCTGTGATAGCATCGTGCATGTTTACACTAGCTGAATACATATATTTAGACAGTAAAAACACATTTAGACAATGACGGAGAATAATTACAGGTAAGGCAGGTAAACGCAGACGTACAATACAATGACCAGACTGGGGAAACAAACTGAAACGCGGAGGAAATACAGAGGACTAATGACAACAATCAGAAACAGCTGATCACACGGGGATTCCACACGGGGTTAACGAGGGGGCGTGGCACACGGAAGGAACGGACTATCGGGGCAGGACACATTGTTTTTTTTAACTTTACACATTGTTTGGACACATTTATTTTCTTACTTTACAAATTACTCTTTTGATAAATGTGCTTAGATGTGTTTAGTACAGTATATGCTCTTCTTGTTTTATCCGGTTCATTTTGTGTGTAAATGCTAAAGAAAAAATATTTAGGTGTAATTTTTTGGGGTTGGGAACCAATTAATTGGTTTTCCATTATTTCTTATAGGGAAAATTCGATCAAAACACAAACTTTTTAGGATTCGATCCAGAGTTCTGAACGGATTAAGTTCGAGTTCTGAGGTACCACTGTATATATTTCACACACACACACACACACACATACATATATATATATATTTTTTTTTTTTTTCACCCCCACCATTAGACAAAAATGTTTCAATACTTCATATTGCTTTGAAAGGAGATCCTAAGCATGAAAAAAATATTTTAAATCCTTGTCACTCCATTGACCAATACCCTGAGCCCATTGCCCTACAGTGACAATGATTGACAGCTGTTTCCTCCAATGGCAGGAGATGCCACAGCATTTCCCCTTTCTGGAACACTATCTCTGATTGACAACTCAGTAATGATCATAATGGGAATGATGCAGGCATATGCTTTGGCCTCAGGTCCAACCCAAAGCTGCTTGGCTGCCCGAAATGACCCCCCCCCCCCATCTCCCATAAGCCTTTGGGGTTGAAGAACAGATGAGGTGATGAACAGAACAGGGGCTCGGATTAAGACCTGACTCCGCAGACATGAAAACTAGTGTTGGACTGGAAAGAAGGATCTACCTGTTATGAAGCAGAGGTCCATAAAAGACCATCACGGGAGAGCAGATGGTTTTGGGTCAAGGCCTGTGCCCATGTAACGTAGACGGCGACCAGGCCACTGATAATAACCTTGCGTCACGACGGGAGCGATGGGACCACAGTGTAATCAACAGCTAAGAAGCTTTTTTAATTTAACTCCTGCTGAGCGTCTAGTAACGCATGCCCGGGGTGAGTTTCTTGTTGTTAATGTCAGCCATAACGACAGCTCAGGTCTACGCCATGCCTGGGATTGGAGGATGAGAAGGATGCATCATCGCAGGGATGATGCCGCGATGTGCCTACAGCCTGTCTCGGGAGCCATGAAGCAGGATCGCCCTCCCGGGTGCCCGGGGTTCCCTTGGAATCCCATTTTCCGCGCCTGACTGCTTTCGTCGCCGCGAACAGCTGGACCACGCGCAGATTCCTGAGAATCCTTCGCCTCCGTCCGTGAAATGCCGGCTACCCGCCGCAGCGATGCACATGTCAATCCCCAGCTTGGTGGAGACGAGTCGCACGCCCGTTATGTGCTGATTGGCAAGCGCTTTCAAGTTTCTACTGTGAGTCAACACTGGCCTCCCATGAGAAAGTTATCTGGTGTATGTGCTAATCCCAGCCTAATGAAAACCATGGGCTGGCTGGTTATTTTGTCTTGAGGTGCATGCAAACAGCCCCCCCACCTCCTGGGGGGCGGGGCTCCTGTGGCCGTTCGTCCTATCACAGCCTGACCACAGCCTCCTGCACCATGCTGCTCCTATAGGCTGCCCCATCCGCTTTGCCATATTGGCCTACAGCCCCAGCTGAGCCGTCCAGACCCAATGCAAGAGGCGACAGGTACCTCCTGGCCAGTTCTGGGGCATTGCCTGTCCCACCACCCAACCCTCCCCAGTCCAAAACGGTCGCAACCCATCAGCTGTGGAAACTGTTTAATATCAGGGTACAATTTACTCTTCAGACTCAGGAATACGATCACCACAGCTCAGCCAATCCCTGCTTCCCCCGTGATGGTGCTGCTTTTTCTAACAGACAGGCTTATCTTGTTGAATATTCTTCCTATAATTTCTCTCTCAATATCTTTTCTGTAAAGATTTCCGAGTCTTTGTGGGCGTGCATCTGGACGATCTGTACTCTGCTCCGAATGGTCCCTCTGGGCTGAACAGATCCAGTCCCGAAACACATAGCAGATGACGAACGGCGCTCGCCTACTGCACTAGCGTGATGCACCTTCATCTTTGCCGTGCGCTATGCCGTTTAGCTGCCGTGTAACGTGTGACGTCTCCTGGGAGGCGCCCATTGGCCCTGGAGGAGCTCAGCAGTTTAATGCTCCGGAGAGTGAGGAAGACTGCAGGGAAGACTCAAGCAGGCTGAGTGTCTGAGAGGAAGACAGCTACAGTGGCAGCAATGTGAGAACACACAGAATCTCACGCGCAGCACCTCTGCTCACTGAGAACAAGGGCTCAGGTTAGGCCTTTAGAACCATCCGGATGTTTTTCCCATAATGCCTTGTGACGCTTAAGAACTTTTCCCAAACCAACGGTAACACATTTTTGTTAATCAAGCTATATCCGCTGTATCAGTCTGTTAAACACCCGGATGTGAATCCAAAACAGACCAATTTTTATTGCCATATTGTACCATAGCCAGGCGTGTTTAAATTCTGACTCATTTTAATCACACAGATTGGCGCTTGATCCTGATGAGCTGCCCTTTCCGGTGCCTC